CATTTTCAGATGAGTGATCCATCTCTTCAGGAGGGCTCATTTCCCCCTTTTGTTTGCATACCTCAAACTGTTGGATGGAACGCCAGACACTGTGAATGTTACCTTGCTGTTTGCTGGATATTTTTGTGTTTTCTATAATATTGAGCTTTGTTCAGGGATGCACTGAAGTTACTTGGAAACATTTCTGCTGTTGCTTCAATGCATAGTTCAGTGGCCCAGAGCAGGGCTCCGTGGAGGACTCACCATGAGTTCCGGGTACTGTAGCAAGCCCTCTCCCTGTCCTCCACCCTATTCCTCACAAATTAAGAGGGTTACTTTTGCTTAGTCTATCTGTTGGACACAGGCACTATTCCCAGCACTGTGTGAGCACCAGGCCCTGTGCAAAGGATTACCCCCTGACTTGCTGTCCATGCCTCCCCAGGGCCCCTCCACAGCTCTGGCTAGGTGACTTCCTGCAGCTCTGTCCTCCCTGAGACTCAGTCCTGGGTTCTCTCAGATCAGTGTCCTCAATTCCAGGAGCTCCATGGGGCTCCTATTCAAGTTCCCCTCCCCCCAGTGCCTTGCTTGGAAACTCTCTAGAGCCAGTACCTCTGAGCAGCTCTAGGGCTCTGCTCACCATTGTGTTGCCATGTGTCCAGGATGGCTGTCCCCTTTGCCTGATGCCCAGGATCTTGGAAATCTCCACTTCGTGCATCTTGTGTGACGCTGTTGCTCTTTTGTTTAATTGTTTCTGGCAGAAGAGTAACCAGTTGCTGAGTCCCAGTTGGTGTGGCTCCCCTAAGTGAAAATCAAAGTTGGAAGACCCTCAGTTGTAGATTCTGAATAGAGGCCTTTAGGGAGTAGAGAAAAAAGCACCAGCTCTGGTGAAAGCCTGAAGCCAGAAACCCCTTCAAGCTCAGTTTGACAAAGCAATGCAGGTACATCAGTAGGGACAGTTTTTGCTTGAGCCCGAGAGCTGCAGAAGGCCCACGGCCCTTTGTCCTAGAGCTAACCTGCTGTTTGGGAAAGGTCTGTGGTGCCAAACCCAGCGGGTTCTTTGTGAGTAGACAGAGGTGCCTCTTTAAAAGCCTGTCAGGGGGCACCTGGCTGGCTCAGTCAGGAGAGCAGGGGAGTCTCCATCTGGCTTCATGAGCCCTATCCCTACTTTGGGTGTAGGGATTACTTCAACAAATAAACTTACAATAAATAAACAGTACATCAAGCCGGACCCTCTCTAGTCTCCTAAGGGTCCTCTGGAGCAAGGCTATACTAGGTAGGCTACCAAGTGGCCTAATCAAGGATATGGAGTCTGGGGATTGGGTGAGGCTTTGCAGGGTGCCTGGGGGGATAGGTGGGGAGGGGATGGAGGAAGGAGAAGGGATGCAAACCCCTGTTCCCTGGGGAATGAAAAGAAAGCACCTTTGCTGGATCAGGGACTGCAAACCACATACTGACATATAAGCAGAGAAATTGCTCTGCGAAAAACAGAAAAAAACCCCGACAGCCAAGGTGGGATGTATGACCAGTGGACAGAAACTGTCCTGCATGCTTTTGATTGAGAAACAGCCAAACCCAGATTCTCAAGAAAGCAGCCCTTAAAAGCAGAGGTGTTTTCTTCAGCGTCCTGGTGTCCCCTGAGTGAGCTTCCTCTTCAGCCCATGTCATCAGCCAAAGTAATGGAAAAGACAAAACAAACAAACAGAAAAATGAATAAGAAAACAAAGGCTATTCTTAAACAACCCACAACAGGTGAAACAGCAAAAGCAGCCCCCCACTGCCACTAACACAAATAATGCAGAGGAGTTGTCCACACTCGGGGAAATCGCGGGGGTCAGCATGTCCCTGGTATGATGGAAGGGCCTCACCTGGGAAAACCACCTGCTTGATCCCGGCGTCTCCCCTGCTGGGTAAGTGTGACTCCCTCCGCCTCTGCCCCACACCAGTCTCACCCCCCTTCCACCGGACACACAGGCTCACTCACCTAGGCGCACCCCAACACCCTCGGCACCCACTCCTGTCGCAAGCACCCTCACCCTCCACAGGACGCTTCCGAATACGATGGAAGCAACAGCGCTGCTACCTCCTCAGCCCTGTGAATTCTAAGGTGCAGAACCGCACAGCCACGTTGCCTGGTTTGCATCAGACACGCCCCGTCCGTGACGTCAAGGGCTTCGCCTCAGTCCCCACCCCCACCCCGTCTCCCTGCCCCCCAGCTCCCCTCCCACCTTGGATTTCAGTGCTGGTGTTCCTCCTTCTCCTCCTCCAGTCCCCCTTCCCCATCTCCCCTTCCCCCCTTCTCCCTCCCCCTGCCCTGGCTTCCATCCTTACATGCCCAGTCTCCTCTGTCTCCTGATTTAGATTCCTCTCCCTGCAGCTCTGGCCCCCCAAACCCTACACAACCCCACCCCCCAGCACAGGGAAGGCTGTGCCAGCCAGAGAAACATGAGGGAGGACTTTCCACTAGCCCAAGAAGCGCAGATACATCTCTGTCTCTTGCTCTCTCTAGCTCTCTCTCTAGAATAATGCCCCCTCCCTAGGAGCTGCCCAGGCTAATGCCAGGAACCTGTGCACATGTTCCATCCTGCAGCAAAAGGGACCCTGCACAGGTGCTTATGTTAAGGACCTTGAGATGGGGAGATGATCCTGGATTATCCAGGCAGCGCCCTGGAATGACAAGGGGTCTTAAAACACAAAGAGGCAGAGAAGAGGTCAGAAGGAGGCTGTGTGAGGAGGACTCTGCCTGCTGGGACTGGGGCTAGGGCTGAGCATGGAGGAGGGGCCTCTAGGAGCTGGAACAGGCAAAGAGACACACTGCCTGCTTAACCTAAAAAATAGAAACCGCCAGGTATTGTACCAGCCAAATTGGGATTCCTGGGGAATAAAAGGGAAAGGTGATGTGGGACAAACCAGCTGGTCTGAGGAAAGTCACCTAACCAGAGCTGTGCAGGGTCCCTGGTGTGGCTTGCAGTGAGGTCCTGCTCAGGGCCTCCATGGGAGGAAAGGCCAGCAAGTCAGGGGGCAATCATTTGAAAGCAGTAGAGGGAACAGGGCCTGGAGCTCTCGCAGGCAAAATGACCCCTAGTCAGGAGCCAGATCCATCATCTGAAAATAATCCAGAGCTGACACATGTGAGAACCGCCAGAGAAGGATATGAAAGCTTTTAGTATAAGTTTTCCCTCAGTTGTAAATGTTAAACCGATAAATAGAAAATATAAACAACACCCTCTCTATCTTTAAGAGATGAAAACTACAACGTCTGAAAGGAAATATACAAGGTATTGACAGAATTTAGAAAATCCAGAAGAAAAATTTTTGATAGAATTGTATTTAATCTGTAGATCTATTTGTGTAGTACTGCCATATGAACTATATTAAATCTTCCAATGTATGCATATAGTTGTTTTTTTTTCCCCCATTTGGTCTTTCATCTCTCGCAGAAGCATTACTTCTTATGCTTTTCAGTGAACAAGTCTTGCTCTCCTTGAATGAATTTACACCTGACACTTTTACTGTGTTGTGTGCCATTGTAACTGGAATTGCTTTCTAAATTTCCTTCTCAGATTGTTCATTGCTAGTGCATAGAAACACAACTGATTTTGTATATATGGTACCCTGCAACTTTACGGAATGAGTCTATGGACTCTAATAGTTTTGTGTGTGGATGATTTGAGGTTTTTCTATCTTTAGGAGCATGTCCTCTGTAAATAGAGACACAGGTTGACCCTTGACCAATGCGGAGTAAGGATGGTGACTCTCAAGATCAAAAACCTGTGTATAGAGGCGCCGTGAGGGGCGGTAGCGGCGGCGGTGGTGGTGATAGTGGCGGCAGCTGTGAGGGGCTTCCAGGAAGATGGTGCTGATTAAGGAATTCCGTGTGGTTTTGCCATGTTCTGTTCAGGAGCAAAGTTCCTGCATTCGTCAGGATGATTGCTCCAGAGGGCTCCTTGGTGTTTCACGAGAAAGCCTGGAACGCATACCCCTACTGTAGAACAATCCGTTATGCCTCAGTTGTAACGAATGAATATATGAAAGATGATTTCTTCATTCAAATTGAAACATGGCACAAACCAGACTTGGGAACATTAGAAAATGTACACGGTTTAGATCCGAACACATGGAAAACTGTTGAAATTGTCCACATAGATATTGCAGATCGAAGTCAAGTTGAACCAGCAGACTACAAAGCTGATGAAGACCCAGCATTATTCCAGTCAGTCAAGACCAAGAGAGGCCCTTTGGGACCCAACTGGAAGAAGGAGCTGGCAAACAACTCTGACTGTCCTCAGATGTGTGCCTACAAGCTGGTGGCCATCAAATTCAAGTGGTGGGGACTGCAAAGCAAAGTAGAAAACTTCATTCAAAGCAAGAGAAAAGGATATTTACAAACTTCATCGCCAGCTTTTTTGTTGGATTGACAAGTGGTTTGATCTGACAATGGAAGACATTAGGAGAATGGAGGATGAAACTCAGAAAGAACTAGAAACAATGCGTAAGAAGGGTTCCGTCCGAGGCACGTCGGCTGCTGATGTCTAGATGAGTCCCCAGTAGGGTCAGAGACAATATCAAACTGTTTACGTAATCAAGGTCAAGTGAGGGGAACAAGTGCAGCCAGTGATGAGTGAAGAAGGATCTGACCAGTATCTGGCAGTGCTGACGTTTCCCAGATGTGTGCTTGTGATGACATACTCACAGGTTCCCAACCACGTGTGTGTGTGTGTGTGTGTGTGTGTGTGTGTGTGTGTGTCTGTGGCTGCATATAAAATGCATGTAGAGCTACAGATCAAGATATACACACTTGTGTATATATGTACATACAAACATACTGAAAGGATTAGTACAATTTCTCCAAAGTACTGTACCTATCTTCAAGAATGCAAAAGAAAATATTTTCAATATATATACCTGGAACAGATTTTAATAATTATCAGAGTAATACCATTGATGGACAAATTGACTGCAATGTAATACTAGCTGGTATGTTTCATAAATGTCAAATTGTGGACCAATATATTTAGCCTTTTATTACTTTTCTCTTCTTTTAAAACTTCCTGTTCTTTTAAGTCTTACAAATTTTTATTTTAGTCCCTAAGCAACAGCCTCCCACAGAAAAATTTATTCAAAATCTTTTGGTATTCCAGTGAATCTGGAATGTGAACTCTGAATGTATTTATAATGATTTATTTCTGGATGGTTATTATCTTAAATTCAAATTGGACACTGTCTATTAGTAAGGAGTATAGTTACCAGCCAATTTTTACTTGTTTGCCCTGAGGGAAATATCCTTTAAAAAAAATTCTGGTTTTTATTGGATTTTTGTATTTTAAATATCAATATTTTTCTACATCAAACCTAGCAAAAATGGAGATGATGGTTTGTGATTTATAATAAACACTATACAATTTTCAGGCTACTCTTTGGCAAACAAAGAAATTGATGAAGAAATGAATAGCATCGTAGGCTGTAGGAAAACTTTCGGAAGTCGAGCACTTCCATGGAGTCTTGTTTCTGAAATGACTGTTTTCTGAAATTAGAGCTTGGAAACTATGCAAATGATCTAGATTCCTCACAGCTGACAGGCTGGAATACAGATAGTGGTGATGGTTTTGTTTTTGTTTTTGTTTTTGTTTTGCGCTTTTGATATTGAAATACACCCCCAGGGGGAGATGCTGCCTTTGACATAGTGGAATTTCAGAGGCAGCACAGGCTGGTCTCCTTGCCTGGGAGGCCCTGCTGAGGGGCCAGTGCTCCACCGCCCATGGGGAGGACACCATTGGAACCTGTCACAAGTGAGCATCAGGAACGTGCTGTTAGCAGCTGCTGCCACCTTGTCCTCCTCCTCCTCCTTCTTTAAGAAAGGCACCATAGCTAGGTACGATTTTTATCAGCTCTCTCTGTCCAAGTCCAGGTTTTCTCCTGTCAGTCCTGGAAGCTTGACTAGAATGATATTGTTGGAGCCTTCCGGTCACAAACTGTCTTCTTTAACCTCGTCCTTCCTGCCACACGCTGGCTCCTGTAGTCCTATCACGTTTGTAACCTGACTTGCTGACAGTCCTGCCCACCCTGCTCCTCGTTTTCCCACACGCCGTGTCCCCACTGAGGTGGTGGCAGTGAGTCGGACGAGGGTGTGGAGGATCACTGCCGCACCGCGTTGCCCTCTTAGCCTTGGCTCCGAACCCCACGTCGAATATGTCCTCCGTGTACTCAGGATCAAGACTGAGGTTTACTCTCTGGGCAGTGTTACAAGACAGGTGTTGTCAAAGCATAATCATTGTCTGCAAAGTGTTTGGTGCAAGGAAGATTGTTGCTAATTTTGTGAAATAAAGAGTCTCACTCTCTCCTTTTAATGGACTAAACTCTCACTGGCATCTGTAGCTTCGTTGGGAGCTTGGGCGCACATGGAAATCCATGCCCACCGCACGGATTCTAATGTTTTCCTAACGACTGTGGAGATTTGAGGGAATGCGTGGTGAATGTAAAATACCTAGTTTACGTGGCAGTCTCTTGTGTAAATTACAGTAAAACAAAGTAAATGGAATTGAAACAAAAAATAAATTTGATCACAAAATGCCAAAAAAACCCCAAAAACCTGTGTATCACTTTTGACTCCCCGAAAACTTAACTACTAATAGCCACTTGTTGACTGGAAGCCTGACTGATAAGATAAAGATGACTAACCCATATTTTGCAAGTTATATGTATTCTACACTGTATACTTCTAATAAAGTAAGCTAGATAAATGAAAATGTTATTAAGAAAATCATTCGGAAGAGAACATATATTTAGAGTAGGATACTGTGTTTATAGAAAAATGCACGTATAAGTGTACATGTGCTGTTCCAACCTGTGTTGTACAAGGTCAATCGTAGTTTTATTTCTTCCTTCCCCCACTCTTTTTTCTCACTTTCAGTTTTGAATAGTATTTTGGCCCGAGGATCGAATTCCATACCTAGAGAGGGATTATTGAGTCTCCTCTTGATTAGAATGAACTTTTCAAGTTCATCCCTGACATTAAATCTAAATTAGACCTGCTTTGGGGCTTGGAAATGGAGGGGAAAAATCACCCCCCTTCCTTCTCACTGCATTTTAGACTTCCTCCTCAAAATGAATGTCAGGGGGCACCTGGGTGGCTCAGTCGTTAAGCCTCTGCTTTCTGCTCAGGTCGTGATACTGGGGTCCTGGGATCGAGCCCCGCATCGGGCTCCCTGCTCAGCAGAAAGCCTGCTTGTCCGTCTCCCACACCCTCTGTTTGTGTTCCCTCTCTCACTGTGTCTCTCTCTGTCAAATAAATAAATAAAATCTTAAAAAATAAAAAAAATTCTTGCAAACAGTGCTGAGGACTCATACTGGCCATTGGTTTGTTCGTGCCTCCCAATGTTACCCTCAAAAATGTGAGGAAGACTTCATACTAGGTAAGATTTAGGACCTTGGTGGCTAAATATTCAGGAGCCTTTATACCAAATATGTTGCTAACATACCTTTCATGACACGTGGAGAGGACTGAACAAGAAAATACGAAGCGGAGCAGAGCCATCTTTCCTTGAAAAAACATGGGCATTTTTGATTACTCAAGGTAGCATATGCAGAAATCTAGCCTGGGCTGCCCTGGAGCCTTGTAGGCTTTACACTGCACATTCAGGGTCTCTAGGATGCGCACGTGCACGCGCACGCGCGCGCACACACACACACACACACACACACACACACACTCCTCCAGTCCATCTACATAGGACTTGTGATCAAATCAGGAGCCAGTCCTAGAGTAGTAGGGCCCAGAGCCCGTGAGCAACAGATGCCTAAACAGGAGCCACTGTCCCTGCTTTTTCTATAGAAGACACACCTGTTGCGCAGCTCCCTTCCTTGTCACGTGCCCTCTGATCCACGCCCCGCCACGTGTTTCCCCACCCACCCCACCTCCTGGGCAATGGCCAGCCTGTGACCGGACAGGAAGTGACATCCGCACCCCCTGGGTTTAGGCCTCCTGTGGGTTCTCAGGCCTCGTTGGGAGAGCAGTATAGCAAAATATCTCTTGGAAGTGAAAACCATCATTGTAGGGCTAAGAACAACAATAAATAGATTCGCAGAATCATGCGAAGGATCTGTACTGGAAATCAGAGCCAA